GCAAAAACTATTTCATTTCAAACTTTCTGATAAATAAATACCAAAACCTTACTCACCTCCTCTTGATTAGAAATTCCACTCCTAGGAATGTATCTTAAGGAAATAATTAAGGATGGTGTGTAAGATGTTCATTGTTTCACTGCTTATAATTTTAAAATATGGAAGTAACTGGGCCGGGCGCGGTGGCTCAAGCCTGTAATCCCAGCACTTTGGGAGGCCAAGGTGGGTGGATCATGAGGTCAAGAGATCGAGACTATCCTGGTCAACATGGTGAAACCCTGTCTCTACTAAAAATATAAAAAATTAGCTGGGCATGGTGGCACGTGCCTGTAATCCCAGCTACTCAGGAGGCTGAGGCAGGAGAATTGCCTGAACTCGGGAGGCGGAGGTTGCGGTGAGCCGAGATCACGCCATCACACTCCAGCCTGGGTAACAAGAGCGAAACACTGTCTCAAAAAAAAAAAAAAAAAAAAGGAAGTAACTTGAAGATATCTTAGGAGATCAATTACAGCGTGTTTGTAGGATGAAATTCTTTGCAGTCATTAAAATTCCTGTTGTAAACCAGGGTTTTTTAAATTTGTTTGTGAGACAGAGTCTCGCTCTGTTGCCCAGGCTGGATGGAGTGCAGTGGTGCAATCTTGGCTCATTGCAGCATCTGACTCCTAGGTTCAAGCTATTCTTCTGTCTCAGCCTCCCTAGTAGCTGTGACTATAGGCATCTGCCACCATGCCTGGGTATTTAGTATTTTTAATAGAGATGGGGTTCCACCATATTGGCCAGGCTGGTCTCAAATTCCTGACCTTGTGATCCACCCGCCTCTGCCTCCCAGAGTGCTGGAATTACAGGCATGGGCCACTGCACAAACCTGAGCTTATTAAAAAGTTTTTGAAATATTTGGTGTTATGCTCACCTTTGTATCTTTTTGTTTGGTCTGAAATTTTTATAAATTAGTATGTATTATTTTAATTTGCATTTTAATTTTTAAATTACATAATACATGTAGAATAACTTACATAATAAGCAAATGTAGAAGAATAAAACTAAAAAGTACAAGTCTCCCCTCGACAGCAGCCCCTTCTCCAAGTCACTCCCCTTCCCAGAAGTAACTACAGTCAGCAGTTTGGTGACAACACTTGTCTTTTAGTAAAATACATTTCATGTATTGCTTTAATTTTTGCTTACTCAAGTAAAATTCTAAGAAAATTCCAACAACAAAGAAATATATATGAAGTTAAAAATGATTTTTTTCTTCTCTCCTTAATCTGAAATCTGACTGCTTCCCCTGATACAAGCACCTTGAACAAGTTGGTATGCCCCCCTGAGATTTTTTTTTAATTTTAAAAATATTCTTAATATTTTGGAAATGAAACAAAAAAGTAAAACTACTTTAACAGCAACAAGGGGAAGTGTTTGTGTTTTATTTTTAATACTTTGAGAACTTTCAAATGCACGTGAGAGTAGAGAGGATATTGTGATTAACTCTGATATGCTCATTGCCCAGATTTGACAATGAATAATATTCACCCTATTTGTTTCAGCTGTTTTTCCTGCGTTGAATTTTTAAGCAAGCCCCAGGCTTGTTGACATTTTATTCCCAGAAACTTCCTTAGGAGTCTTAACTACTTAAGGACATTTTCTTAGGTGACCCCAATCCTATAATCACAACTGACAAGATTAATACTCATCAGGTAGTATCACCCAGTACCCAGGTTATGTAATAATTTCCTGATTAGTCTCCATGTCTTTTATACCGCTGGCATTTGCAACCATTGCTGCAAAAGTTCCATCCGTGCTTTACCTCTCCTCTGCTTTCTAGTGCTTGTCATGAAATAAGACCAAGAGTGGGTAATAAGTAAATATTTTAAATAATTCAACTAACATTTTGACACACACACAAAAGTCCATTACAAAAGAAAATGGCCAGGATAAGAGCAGCCTTTTAAACATTTTATTTTGAAATAATTTCAGATATACACAAAAGTTGTAAAAATAGGCCACAGTGCTCCCATTTTGCCCTTGTATCACATTCCCCACTTGTGAGTGATTCTGAACATTAAGTTGCAGACATCTTGGCCCATTACTCCTTACTATTCCAGTGTCTGTTTCCTACATACAAAGGGAATATACCAGGTAACCACAGTACAACCACCAAAACATGGATGTGAATACTGATCCAATATTAATATAGGATCCTCAGGTGCCATTCAAAATTTTCCCTCTTCTCCTTTACATTTTAAAATTATATACTACTACTTACATTTTTCTAAAAGAAAAATATAACACAAAATCACAAAAATGCCTCTACCTCTGCACTACTCCTCAAATCCAAGTCCCTTGTCCACTTTTTCTGTGCAACATACACAGGGCTATACCCTCCTCCATGGTTTCAATCCCAACTGGCCTATCCTAACAAACATATGATTTCTTTTGGAGCTCCCTGTGTGTCCATAATAATCCTATCAATTTAAAATTTAATTTTAATAAATTTAAATTAGAATTTATTTTTTTCTGCCTCCTACAAATAATCCACCACAGACAAATTCCACAGCGTGCACACATATACCTAGATTTAGTCATTTCTGTGACTGTTCCTTGTGTTGTGCCTCCATCAACACCCCAATCGCCATTCCTGGTCCATACACTTAGGTATTCTCCTATGACTACATAGCAACGTGACTGGGGAAGTGGAAGAGCATTTCAGATGCTAAAACTACTCTGCCAAACTGCCTCTAGCAAAGCCTTTGAGTCAGCTCTCTTCCCGGAAGCAGGAAAAGACCTGTTTCTCTACAAAGTTGTCAATACCAAATACTCTTCTTTCCTTTAGAAAGCTAATTTGATGGGCTGGAAATGGCAACTTGATGATACATCTTTTAATTTTTTCCTTTGCTGGTGAAGTTAATCATAACTTTAATTTTGAGGAATTTGAAAGGCTGATACTAAAATCGTTTTTTTTTTTATTGTCGCGGCAGCTGTATAACACCGTTCATAAATTAGATCTATTTGCATCTGTCTTACTTCCGTCTGTCCTTGGATGAATGCTGGCACTCAGTAATTGCTCTAATCTAAAAGAGCTCTCTGTGTTGAAGTTACTCCATTAGTCACAAATTAAAAAATTATTGAGCACCCACTATACGCCAAGCAGACACTGTTTTGGGCACGAGAGTTAAACAGTCTCTTTTCTCATGGACCTTACCCTAAGTCAGGCAATAAACAATAATCATTACTTTCATGTCAAGTGGGCAGGTCTGGCAGGATGCAGTCTAATGTGTTTATTAATATAGTAGTTTAAAGAGGGTCCAGAAAGGGGAGTTCGAGACAGATAAAAGTGGGGCAAAAAGGTGACAATGGTTATAGCTTAGTGATGGGTACTCTGGTACACTTTAAATGTTTCTAACAACAACAACAAAATACTAGTGGCATACAAGTGCATTACTACCTTGGGAGATTTTCCTTTGTTTTCTTTTTTTGCTCACTCTATCACCCACAATGGAGTGCAGGGGCACAATCTCAGCTCGCTGCAACCTTAGCCTCCCAGGTTCAAGCAATTATCCTGCCTCAGCCTCCCAGGTTCAAGCAATTATCCTGCCTCAGCCTCCCAAGTAGCTGAGACTACATGCACCTGCCACCACACCCAGCTAGTTTTTATATTTTTAGTAGAGATGGGGTTTCATCATGTAGGCCAGGGTGGCCTCAAACTTTTGACCTCAGGTGTGACTCACCCGCCTCCACCTCCCAAAGTGTTGGGATTACAGACGTGAGTCACCAAGCCCGGCCACGGGAGATTTTTTTTTTCTTTTGGCTGGAATACAATTTCCAATAGTGTCTAAGCCGACACTTGTCCACCCTCCTTTGCCTGTCACTCAAGTCAATGCCCTGGAGAAAAGCGGCTGTGGGGAGGCCGTGCTCCATTAAGAGGCTTAAAAGTTCAGCGAAGTGTGACACGGGATAGGTGTGAAACGGCGACGCTGGGAATGGCTGTTAATATGGGTGGCTGCAGCAGGGTGGTTTTTGTAACAGCCGCTCCACTTTTGTTTTTAGACTGGCACATTGACCTATGTATTATTTATCTTAAACAATAAATTCACTGGAGTTGACAAAAGTTAATCTCGGCCATAAGAATCTGCCTGTTCATTTATCTCCATTCTGCTTAACGGTTAACACATTTTTTTCTTCAACAACAAAAGGCTTAATATTAAAAAAAAAAAAAAAAAAAAAAAAAAAAAAACTATTAGATCATCATTTCAGTATCGTAATGGGATGAGCCCTCCCTCCTTAGGGTGCAAGCCACTCGCCCTCGCTACCTTCAGCCTCCTCGGCGGCTCCCGGCGCTCCCGCGTTCAGGGGTTTCAGCTTCCCCGCCATCCTCTAACTGAGGGCCCGCGCGCACGAGCCTCGCTTGCTGATTGGTTAAAAAAGAAACCGCGTGACGGCGAAAGGCTTCCCAGCGCGCTGGGGGGCGGGCTGCGCCTGCGCTCTCGGTCGACTCAGGAGTCGGCTCTGCGCAGGCGCGCAACGCAGTGTCTGGGACTAACCGCACGCGTGCCGCAACCTCGAGGCTGTTAACTGCAACTGTGACAAACAGGGGCAGAACTAGGGTAGTGGCCAGCGGCGAGTGAGGGTAGTGTGCGCACACACGAAACCCCAGGGGTCTCTCCCGCTTTAGGGGGCTTGTCTTGTGCAGGCTGTCAAAGTCTGGACAGACGTGCTGTGTGGTGGGACACAGAGTTCCAGTCTGTTTTCGTTTACAAATCTTCATTAAAGAGTTCATGAGAGAGGGTACTTATCTGTTTCACAGATGAGTAAAATGAGGCTTAGAAGCTAAGTGCATCTCCTACGTAAAAATGCTGGATTCAGCCAGTGTGCAGTCAGGGTTCCACAGGTGGACAGTGGAGGCCACCTTCTCATTAATGTTAGCAGCAGCCAGCATGGAGGGGGGTCGTTTTTGGTAGGGTGAAGATGAAAAGAAGTATAAGAAGGGCAAAGGAATATCCCTGTGGGTCTTACTTTTAGACCTTTTATATACAGTTTTTTTCTTTAAAACACCCCTAGGCCAGTTCCAAGCACAGTCTGGCCCTGAATTTCCAATTCCAGCACCCCTGTGGGCCACCCTAGAGACCTTGGCCAGCCCTGGACACTCAGGGCTAAGATTCAACTGAGATTGACCCCTGAAGCAAGTTTGCAGGGGACAGTCCATGACAGAGGCCACAGCATCATCCAAGTGGAGGTGACACAGAGGGAAGGAAGGGAGAGGGAGGCCTAAGGATTTTCCCAGATGGGGAGGTACATGACTGGGTGTGGAAAGCAGCCTGCTCGCCTGGCTGCTGCCACCATCTCTCTCACCGGCAGGCCCTCAGATCTTGCCCCATTGCCTAGGGAGACAATGACTGGCCACAGACACACCCCCACCCACATTTCCAGGGTGGAGACAGAAGGTAAAAAACAGGTGGTTGCTCCCAGCACTGCCCGGTCTGGGAGCTCCATCTCTCAGAGTCCAGTGAACAAGCCATTATGGGCAGCTTGGTCCGTAGAGGCGGCTGGTGGTGTGGAGTACTTGGGTGGGTAACGAATGAACAGCCGGTCTTCTTCTTTCTTCACCCAGCGCAGGAGTTTGGTCACTACCAAGATTGCACCTGCCTTGGTCACCAGAGGGCTGAGACAGGTATAGAGCTCAAATTTGGAGGTCACCTGGGGGTTTGGGAGGAGACACAGTCAGATGGGCCAGCAGTGGCCATGGAGAATCCCTTCTATCCCAACACAGCTGCACGTCTGCCTCCTGCAGCCTGGAAGGTGTACCTGGCAGCATCTCCTACCTGGTGCTGCCTAGATACTGGGCTAAGGTAGGTAAGCTGATATTGTTGTGAAATTCATGAGTCAAGGGTCAGCTGGACCTAGTGGCTTCAACTGGGTGATGCTGGTTGTGTGGGGGTATCCTGTAGACCTCAGTTTGCTCATCTGGGGACTGGGGAAAGCAGTAACCTTTAATATTCTGCCAGTAACCTACTGTGTGCAAGGTCCTGCTCTAAGCTCTTACAGCTATGTTTTCATCATCTACAGCCAGGGAATAATATAAAGAGGAACTCAATTTAAGCCTCATACCAACTGGAGAGACCTGCCCCACAAGGTCACTAGCACCTTTTTTGTGCCACCTCCCACAGCTCTCCCCTTTACTCCTTCTGTTCCAGCCACCGTACTTTTCCTCGCTACTCCTCAAAAACAGCTAGGCTCAGTCCCACGTCACAGCATATGCAGTCCTTTCCCTCTGCCAGGTGTATTCGTCCTCCTAATATCCATATAGCTCAATACTGCCCCACTCCACTCAGATGCCATCTCCTCAGGGAGGCCTACCCTGATCACTTGGTTTAAAATTCTGGTCCTAACATATCTTGTTTGTTTGTTTGTTTTGAGATGGAGTCTCGCTCTGTTGCCCTGGCTGGAGTGCAGCGGCACGGTCATGGCTCACTGCAACCTCTGCCTGCTGGGTTCAAGTGATTCTCCTGCCTCAGACTCCTGAGTAACTGGGATTACAGGTGCCTGCCACCACACCCAGCTACTTTTTTGTAGAGACAGCATTTCACCATGTTAGCCATGCTAGTCTTGAACTCGTGACCTCATAATCTGCCTGCCCAAAGTGTTGGAATTTGCCTGGCCCATATCTTGGTTTGTAAATTCCAATCTCTACTGAAACATACAAGAGCTCCATGGAAAAGTAGCTGAGTTGAGGACCGGAATAGAGGAAGTCAAGTAAGATGTACTCACATAGTGAAGGAGACATGTCATAGAAACACAGGGACCAGCCTGGCTAAATCAGAGTACCCACTGGCTAAGTCAGAGGAAATTTGAACAACAAAATAAATGCTAGAAAAGGATTTTAACTCAGTGAATTAAAGAAAAATTTATGAGATAATATTGATAAAAATTAAAAATTCAACAAACAGAAGAAAGGAAAAGTTACGGCACCTTCCCCCCACCTTTTTTTGAGATAGTCTTACTCTGTCACCTAGGTTGGAGTACAGTGGTGTGATCTTGGCTCACGGCAACTTCTGCTTCCCAGGTTCATGCGATTATCCTGCCTCAGCCTCCTGAGTAGCTGGGATTAGAGGGACGCACCACCATGCCCAGCTAATTTTTGTATGTTAAGTAGAGATGGGATTTCACCATGTTGACCAGGCTGGACTGGAACTCCGGACCTCAAGTGCTCAGCCCACCTCGGCCTCCCAAAGTGTTGGGATTACAGGCGTGAGCCACCACACCCAGCCCCAAGTTATTCTTTACAGTAAAATCCCAACCAATCAATGTAGAAAGAATGATGGAGTTAGAAAAACCACCATCTGACTAGGCAGCACTTTAGGAGGCCATGGCAGGCAGATTACTTGAGGCCAGGAGTTTGAGACCAGCCTGGCCAACATGGCAAAACCCCATCTCTACTACAAATCTTTAGCCTCAGCCTCCCAGCGTGCACCTGTAATCCCAGCTACTTGGGAAGCTGAGGTTAGAGAATCCCTTGAACCTGGGAGATAGAGATTGCAGGGAGCCAAGATTGTGCCACTGCACTCCAGCTTGGGCTACACAGCAAGACACCATCTGGCAAATCAGTGGGTACAAGTATGATGTAAAGCAGGACAATGACAATCACCACAGATATTCACTAATTACAAAACGGAAAAATACCAACTTTATAATGGAGAAATGTGGTAGACACAACTTTAAGTAATCAAAGTTGACATCATCAACAATGGGACAGATGACAATCACGTGCCTCCTGATACGACGCAGGAAGGGCACAACGCTGCTTCTGTGGTGTGCTTGTACAAAATGCATGAACTCAGTTTACTCATGATATGGCATTAGAAAAAACATTGAGGGACTTTCTGCAAGCTAACTGGCTGGCCCTCTATAAAAGTGCCAAGGTCATGAGAGACAGAAAAGAGTGAGAAACTGTTGCAGAATAAACAAGACTAGGAGATCCAATAAATAAATCCAACGGGATCCTGGACTGGATTCTGGACCAGTAAAAGGACATGAGTGGGACAACTGGTGGCATCTGAATGAAGTCCGTGGATTAGGTATAACTGCACCAATGTTAATTTCCTAAATTTGATGAGCTACTGTGGTTATATAAGACGTTGACCTTTGGAGGAACTAGGTCACAGGCCTCTTTCTACTAACTATACTGTTTTTGCAACTTCCAAGTCTAAAATTATTTGAAAATGAAAGCCAAAAAAAATTTTTAAATCAAATCCTTAGCCTATGACAATGCCTAATACACAGGAGTCATGCAATAAGTTCACAACTATGCACTAGGTGGGAGGACCTAGGGGAAGGTGCCATTTCTGATGAGGTTCCCTTCACTGGCCTCCCTCAGTAGCTGACCTTTAACAAACCCAAAGGAAGTGAGGGCTGAAGCCCAGAGGAGACCCAAGGGAAGGATCGTCCAGGTAGAGGGCACAGCATGGGACCAAGCCTGTAGTGTTTGAGGAGTGCTGGAGACCCAGAGTCATAATGAGCTGGTGACGAACAGGGTACTCCAGACACACGGGTTGGGTTACCGGGGAATTGGCAGGAGCAGCAATGGATGTTAAAGGGACTTCTGGAAAGTCAAAGACACTGTCCTGGTTGCTAATGGCAGAAAAGCACATTAGGAGGGTGAGGCTAATGTCAGATTAGAGACACGGTGATTAGCTGTCAGAGGCCTCAGAGATGCATTTGTAAAAGGAGGGACAGTACTGCAGGCAAGACACAGCCCAAGCAGAGGCCTGGTGTGTTTGGTGGACGCGCTATGGCTGGAAGGGATACAGTATAGGGAAGGGAGGCTTGAAGTGGGGAGTCAGTTCACTCAGAGTCCTGCCCAACTCACCCAGGCCAGCAGCGTCTCCTTCTCAGCCACGTGGTAAATGAGGCGCAGCGGTCGGGAGGAGCTGTGAAGGCGAGCATGCAAGCGGTGGTACAGGTCGGACAGCCGCTGCCGCTCCTCCTCTCTGCTGTAGGGGGCCTCTAGCTCGGGGCTGCCATGATGGAGAGAGGTGCAGGGCAAGGTTACTCCAGCGCATTCTTGGCTGGCCCATTTCCTCCCTCAATCTAGAGATTTCGATCAAGTTAGGGAGCTGAGCCTCTCCCTTGAGAATTGAGGATTCTCAGGGGTTACAGGCTGAGCTTCTTTCATCAAACTAGGGGATTCCCTGAGTACTAGGGCCCTGCCCTCCACCAGAATAGGGGGATTCCTTTAGGTCTGTGCTTGAGGCTCCATCATCCCTGAGACGCTGAACTTCCTGGTTAGACAGGCCTTCCCACCCAGCCAGTTGCCTTAGGGTCAGGGCTTACCTGGTAAACTGGGGCAGTTGACGGTGGTGGTCAGGGATGTCCAGCGGCTTATAGAGGAAGTGACGGAGGCCTGGCGCCCCCACAGCCTGCACGCTGTAGGCAGGAGCACTGGCTGATGAGGGGTTAGAGAAGCTGGCAGCCTCCCCAAGGGCACGCATGGCACCAAGGGCATGCATCCCGTCTTCAACCAGGCGCCGGCAGGCGGCCATGGCATGGAAGGCTTCACGCTGGGTGCCAAGCAGCAGCAGGCAGACAGGCATAGCATCCAGACGGGCCACGTAGGCGTAGAAAAAACCATCAGGGTTGAAGCGGGGCAGGCACACTGGTGCCCAAGCCTCACCTGCCGCAAAGGCTGGTGCGCCCACCCAGTCGAGCAGCAGCTGCAGATCCGCTGGGTCCAGCCGGCACTCGGCCAGCACATTCCGCTCCTGGGCTGCTGTTATCAGTCGGCCACCTACTGCCAGCACTGACAGCGCCAGGCCAGGTGCTGTGCAACGTCGGAGGAGCGCACCCAGTGCGTCCCGCAGTGGGCGGGCAAGGGGCACGCAGCGCACGGCGCCCAGGAGCAGGGCTCCTGGGTCCTGCTCCACACTATCCAGAAGTCGGTCCAGTGTGCGCTCTGAGCCAGCCAGCAGGCGGCGGAGGTCATAGTTCTGCTTGTGTGCGAAGATGCGGGCGACGCTTGCACGCGTCAGTGTGCTCACGATCTGTGCGTGCACAGCTAGCAGCTCCCCCCGCAGCTGGGCGGCTGACTGAGGAGTCCGTGACATGGCCACGAGCAACAGTGGGCCCTGCTGTAGGAACACCAGCTTGTGGTCCTCTGGGGAAGGAAGGGGTGAGAAGAGGGGTAGAGCTGGATCAGGAATGACCAGAGGGAGACAGTGGGGCTCTTCAGCCCTCTCCTACCATACACACAGCCTGAGTCCACACGAGCATTCTGTGGGCACCTGGACTGGGGTAAAGACAAGCTGGAGGAATCTGGACATTTGCAGAGACATGATGGGATGGACAAAGGAACAGGTAGGTTAGATACACAGCAAAGAGCAGGGCAAGGCGGGCAGAGATAGTACAAGGCTGACATAGAGCCAGAAAGATACTCAGCTTAGCCACAGAGCCCCCACAGTCATGCTCTCAGGCAATACAGAAGTATCCAGCTAGTCACTTAGATCCCAGCACGTCAACCATTCAGAAACCAGCAGGCCAGAGAGATGAACCCCCCACCTCCCACAACTGACAGACGGAGCCCTGGCTGACCATCCACACACATGGACCCAACCCTGGCTGGCTGGATATTGCCTCAGGCAGACAGACCTACCCATGCCAGCCATATTTCTGGTCACCGTCCCCCATTCTGCCTCCCACCTGTTTGCTCACCAGCGTAGATGGCACGGATGGCATCTCCTGCACTCTGCACGAAGGACACGAGGGCAGTCATTACACCCATGGTAGCCGACAGCGCCTCCACACTACCGTACCGAGAGTAGATGGGCTTGCCAGCCTCACTCAGCACAAACACATGCTTCCGCTGGCTGCGCCAGTCCTCATCACTGGGGTCCCCACCCTGGCCTCCAGAGCCATTCTCAGGGTTACGTGTGGGACTATTCTCAGGGGCTGCAGGACTCCAGAGCTGAGAGGTGCTTGATGGGGCCTCTGACTGTGGTGGTGGTGATGGGCTGGGTGGCTGGTCCTTGTCCTTGGATCCTGAAAGGGAGCCCTTGGTGGGTCATCTGCATGTGAACCCCTAACTAACCCCACATCCCCAAGGACCCACCAAATACCTACTAGTCCCTACACGACCCCTGCATGCTGACACAGACCTCCAAGTGTCTCCTCTGCCCCTCAATGACCAGTGACAGCCCTAGGACCCCGAAATGATCTCCACTAACACTTAGGTTCCATGATCTCCCTGAAACACTAATAAATGAATACATTTTCATTGTTATTCCATTGGACCCTGCTATGTCCCTACAGTCCAATTACTTCCCTTTCAATAACTCATTCTCAAGTCTTTAAGGTACCCCATTGACTCTGGATGACCATTATTCATCTTCAATGATCCCCCATTAACTCCTCTGACCCCTATTTATTCTCCTAATAATCTGCTCACCCAATGGCCACCATTAACATCTATTAATATCTTAAGTGTTTGAATGCCCCTACCCCCGCAACTACCTTGTTGCCCAGTGATGCCCACTGATACCTGATGACCCCTACTGACTCTCCTGGTCATCCATTTATATTCTTGTTAATGTCCACTACTTCTCCCATTGACTGTCATTAATATGCAAAACACCCAGATCTTTAGGACTCCCCCAATCCACTATTCAATCCCTCTGTGGTTCACAAACACCCCAATGACCCACCATTAAAAATCATTAACACCTGGATTTTCAGTGACCCTCCATGACTGCCCTGATCCACAATTTATTCTACTGCATGTCCACCACCCCCTACCCCCAACTATGACCATCATTAACCTTCATTAACACCCAGGACTTCAGTGACCTTCATTCACTCCTCTTACCACCTTCAATTTCATTGATATCTACCCCCCTCCCTACAATAACCATCATAATATCCACTAACACACAAGACTTTAATGACTTTCACTGCCCCTCCCCATGATCATCATTAACATTCACTAAAATCCACAACTTCAATGGCCCGGATTGACACGTCCATTTATTCCCATTGATATCCATTCATCCCCCAATGACAGCCATTATTATCTATTTGTAACTAATTTTCGCAAAAAATCCCAAAAATTGCATATTCTCTTATTGACATTCACTGACACTCCCATGTCCCCAAATATCACTTAATAACCGCTCTTGCCTGCTAATAATTACCAAGTCCTCAACTTCCCCACCCACATTAATTCTCAGTGACGTCTACTGATCCTTCTCAATGACTCCATTTACACCCACTAATTCCTAAGTGATCAATGGTACAGACTTCTCAGTGACTTCCATTAAATCCCAAGTGAACACCTTTACACATCCACTAACATTTGGTTCCTTAAAGACTTCCCCAAACAGCCTACCATTGACTTCAATGATGTAAATACTCTGAATGGCCATGGAACTCCACTGATTCCCCTTCCCACTTCAAGGACCTAATAACACCCTACTCCTGAAAAGCACTAACTTCTAACAGTCCTCCTTGGAGTCTATTGACTTTCTTCAGCGTTTCTTTGACCTAAATACTCTAAATCCCCAGAGACGCTCTTTGGCCCTCAACAGCCCCCTTTTTGATTCCTCAATGACCTAAACTCACACCAAATCCCCAGTAAACATCCGTTGACACCCAATGACTTCTTTCGTGGTTTAAACTACACCATATGTCCACAGTGACCTCCTCCTGACCCGGCTATGGTTTAAGCCACTTCTCTTGAGCTCCAAAAGACTCATAGTCACCTATTGACCTTCCCCCCGTCCAACAGTGACAACCCCCAGGGATTCCTTTTAAGACCCCAGTAAGTAAAGCAATACCTGTTTCCTCCAGACCCTCCTCTTTGAGATCCGGTGGGACGGCGTCAACTCCTTCACCTTCCCTGGTTTCCTCACGGGGGCACTGCGTGTCCTCCAAGCCCTCCGTGCCCCCGGGGGCCGGGGCAGCAGTGTCTCCTCCGGCCTCCATCTGCACATCCCTGAGGGGGAGGGGAATCGAGGGTAACGGGCAGTGAAAGAAACTTCTGAAAATCCTTCAGAGTCAGGCCCCTTGGACACACTCCTGCTGCTCGTTTCCCCACGGATTTTAACAGGATGAGACATTCAAACACATGCCCAAATACTTGCCCCCTCCAACACTTCCCGGAAAGAGGAGGCTCTACTGGGCTTCGGGAAATAAAGATATGCAAACACCTGTTCTAACCCCGAATCTCAACTGGCCGGATACCATTACTTCCCCGTAGCGGCTGTAGCATCATACTTCCGGGTGCGTCCAGGGAGGTGCCACACTTCCGGGTGCGACGCCTCCCAGAAGACACTTCCGGTTGAGGAGCTTTATTGGCTCCCCGTGACGTCCCTCTCCCGCCGCCTACGGGTGTCCCCTCACAGTTGAGATGGCGCGGGCCACTTCCGGATCTACGTCAGGTCAGCTTGGGAGCTTAATGAGACTTCTTTGCAATCCTTTCAAAGGATCAGGCTACGGCTGCCAACCAAAACTAGCAAGGCCCACTTCGCTTACCAGTGGTGTTGGCGTGATGGGGGCGCGACTCGCTCCAGCCAATCCCGTGGCACAGGGGGCGAGACCGCCTTCTTTCTGGGCCAATTGAAAGAAGCTGCCCCATCTACCGGCTGTCTCCTCCCTCTGCTAAACCTCAACCAATACTGTGCATTGTATTGCGTTTGTACCCGCCCATCCCTTGATTGACGTCTCCCTCGACCCAATCCAAGGCTCGAGCATATTCCTAATTTCCCAAGAGGACTTCGGCAGCCCAAGTTGGGATGGATACCTGTGCCGAAATCGCAAACGGGCTCGCCCAGAACGGAGGCAACTCCACCCTCTCTGATCCCTTAACCCGGCCAAGAAAGTCAAAGGAGGGGAGAGGCGCAAGTGCTTGCCGGACAGTTGCCACTTCCAATCGGCGAGCTGCGCAAAGTCTGGTCAGCGTATAAGACTGGGGTCCAAAAGTAAGAGGCAGGTCTCGCCGGAGGAAGCATGAGTTGGTCTCCGTGCTCACCCAAAGGACTCCGCGGCCTTTGGAAAAAAGAGAAGCGCGAGCCACGGACAAGGGGTTGCAAAGGCAAAGCTCAGGCTGACGAGGATGTGTCCAGACCCGCAAAAAGCCCCGCTGACATCACTTGCGTGGGCGGCGTCTGCAGGCGGAACCGTGCGGAGGAAAGCCCCGGCCCCCCGGGGGCGCCCGCGTGGCTGCGCCTGCGACACCGCCGAGCTCTGATTGGCGGAGGACAGGGCCGCGCCGATCTCCGCGCGCTGTCATTGGCTCGCGCGGCGGCCCCCGCACCCCGGAAGCTCTCCACGACCCTGCGAAGCAGAGCGTGGCGTCTGGATCGGATCTTCTTGCTCGGGCGGCGCCAGCAGCCGCATCCTGCAAGCTGCGAGCGGGTTAGGCGGCCAGGGACGGGGAGGGCGGTCCTAGCTGACAGTATTAGCCTGAGGGCGAACAGGCGCAGAGGCGCGCCCGGTCTGGACCGCCAGTCTCCTGTGCTCTGGGGGCCTCAGATGCCGCCTCCTCCCGCGACTCCCCGAGCCTGTCCCGGGCTGTCTGCCTGCGCCCCTCTCCTCTGTATTTGTGTCTCTGAACGTGTAAACGAACGCCTTCGCACATCCACCTGCCCTCTCCTTAGCTCCCCCCCGCCGCCTCCTTCTCTATAGGGCTTGGTCTCTCCGTCGCTCTTTAGCTTTCTCTCCGGCGTTTCACTGACTTCCCGCCCTCTCTTCCTTGGCAGAACAGCGGCGGCCCTTGGGGGCCCTCAAGGGCCTGTCGGACCCCGCAGCTCAGTCCCCAGCCGGGGAAGAACGCCGCCAACCCAGGGTCCGGGAGGGCACTCACCTGGACCAGGGCCCCCCAACGCCCCCGGTCCGCCGGGCGAACAAGTCATCACTTCCTGTGATCAGTTCGGGAAAAGGTTTGGGGGCCCTCCCACGGGCGACTGTGAGAACCCAGGGTTCGAATTCCCGCCCCGACGATGCTTCCTTATAAAAGCCCCCTGAAGGCCGGGCGCGGTGGCTCACGCCTGTAATCCCAGCACTTTGGGAGGCCGAGGCGGGTGGATCACGAGGTCGAGAGATCGAGACCATCCTGGTCAACGTGGTGAAACCCCGTCTCTACTAAAAACACAAAAAATTAGCTGGGCATGGTGGCGCGTGCCTGTAATCCCAGCTACTCAGGAGGCTGAGGCAGGAGAATTGCCTGAACCCAGGAGGCGGAGGTTGCGGTGAGCCGAGATCGCGCCATTGCACTCCAGCCTGGGTAACGAGCGAAACTCCATCTCAAAAAATTAAAAAATAAAATAAAAGCCCCCTGAGCGCCTTACCCCAAGGGCCCTGGATCTCGGTTTCCCTACCAGTGAAACAATGATGGGAATCCCTGGATGTGAAGTGAGTGGGGGTGCTGGCATACTTGGAGTGATTGCTAAGTGGAAGCCTTTGGAAGTAGTTAGGATAACTATTTTAATTACAGTATAGTTAGGGTAATGAATTCCAAATACCAATGTAGCATATGCCTTATATACAATAGATAATAGGTAAGTAATGAAATAAAGATTAAATTTATATAAGAAACAGAAGCAATAAATTTATGTGCATACAAAATGTATTTACCTAATATAGAAGTACATAATATATAATAAACATGTAAAAAAAAAAGCATAATAAAATAACTTGTCTCATTGGTCTTGCTCTGTCACCCAGACTAGAGTGCAGTGGCAAGATCTTGGCTCACTGTAGCCTCCGCCTCCTGGGTTCAAGCAATTCTGCCTCAGCCTCCCGAGTAGCTGGGATTACAGGCACCGGTGTAATCCCATGGATAATATTTTGTATTTTTGGTACAGATGGATTTCACCATGTTGGCCAGGCTGGTCTCGAACTCCTCACCTCAAGTGATTCACTGCTTTGGCCTCCCAAAGTGCTGGACTTACAGGTGTGAGCCCCCATGCCAGGCCTAATAAGCAAATTTATATAAATTTATAGAATCAACAGTGTAATATGTAAAATCAAATAAAATAATTATGCAACAACGTAGTACACAATATATGTAATGCCCTGTAAAATATACATAGTAAATTTAAAATATATACACTTTAAGCATTTTATAATTTGTATAACTACAATGCACATCAGTATATAACATAATAAAATAGTACTTATACACGACATAATTATTATGACAACAAACTTGTGTTAGGTTGATAAGGAGTGCATTCTCTGGAGCCAGGTAAAATATCTTCTCCCATGCCCAGCAATCGCAGGGCGTGTGACCTCGGGCAGGTCACTTGCCCTCTCTGGGCCTGGCTTTCCTCATCTTTGCAGTAGGGCTGTTAACACTGGTACCCATCTCCCTGGAATATTTTTAGGAGAAATAAATGATCCAATGTTGTACCTAAAACAGCACCTGGCACCTTGTAAAAACTTAGTAAAAATGTTAAGTCATTAAATATTAGATATTATGACTTTTACAGATATGATAGTTATGTTACATTATACACTATAACAATGTGAAATTAATATTTCACACACTATCTTAGACCTTATAGTCTGCATATGTTATAGATTATTGTATATTATATATTGTCATGTTGTCACATATAATGTATCCATTGAAATTTTATTTCCAAAACCTTGATTGAGTGCTGAGAATGTATAAGGCATAGTGCAGTGCCCAGTAAGCCAGATGGACCCTTAGGAAGTCAGACAGGCAACCCCCTCAAACAGATGAACAGGCCTCCACCCTGACATACGAAACTCAGGGAGATAGTAAAACTACCCACTAGCCAACCAGCAAGCTCCCCGGCCCCCACCAGTCTCCCCAGGCAGCCAGTCTCAGATGAAGAGAGGTCTCAGTTTTAATGTCAAGAAAGTGAAGGGGCTGGGCGCGGTGGCTCACGCCTGTAATCTCAGCACTTTGGGAGGCCAAGACAGGCAGATCACCTGAGCTCCAGTGTTCGAGACCAGCCTGGTCAATATGGTGAAACCCCGTCTCTACGTGGTGGCAAACACCTGTAGTCCCAGCTACTTAGGAGACTGAGGCAGGAGAATCGCTTGGACCTGGTAGGCAGAGTTGCAGTAAACGTGATCATACCACTGCACTCCAGCCTGGGCAACAAAGCGAGACTTCATCTTAAAAGAAAGAAAATAACAAAAGTGAAGGAGAAGATGATCCAGGTGACAAATATCAATTCAAATATCATGAATCATTGAGGAAACACGTTTCAGATGAGAGAGAATTTAAACCAGTGACCAAATACTTTCTAGTCTCTGTGATTTGATGAGTATTTCTCTGTGTTGTATGTTTAAAATTATATGTTTGTAGAGTCCATTGCATTTTTCATATGTATTTATTACCTGTGTAAACCAAGAAGCATCAGAGACAGGTCTCAATCAATGTAGAAATTTATTTTGCAAAGCTTAAGGATGCGCACCTGGGAGGCAAGTCTATGCCTTTCTCCAAAGTTGATTTTGAGGGCTTCAGTATTTAAGGGGGAAAGGGTGTATATTGGGAAAAGAGGAAGAAATTTTACAGAGGTATAGAAGATACGGGCCAAATGGTTTGCCTTCTTTTGAGTCTTCAGTCAGCCTTTTGCCAAATACACAAATGACATGTGAGAGGGGGTGGATTAATTTGTTCTCACACTACTATAAAGAAATACCCGAGACTGGGTGGTTTATAAAGAAAAGAGATTTAATTGGCCACAGTTCTGCAGGTTGTACAGGAAGCATAGCAGCCTGTGCTTCCAGGGAGGCCTCAGAGAGCTTTTATTCATGGCTGAAGGCAAGGTGGGAAAAGGTGTCTTTTATGGCAGGAGTGGAACTCGGGGTGGGGGTGGTGCTACACTATTTTATATTTTTTGGAGACAGAGTCTCACTCTGTACCCCAGGCTGGAGTACAGTGATGTGATCTCAGCTCACTGCAAGCTCCCCTTCCCGATTCAAGTGATTCTTTTGCCTCAGCCTCCCAGGTAGCTGGTACTACAGGTGCCCACCACTACGCCCTGCTAATTTTTGTATTTTTAGTAGAGATGGGGTTTTGCCATGTTGGTCAGGCTGGTTTCGAACTTCTGACCTTCAGTGATCCATCCACCTTGTCCTCCCATAGTGCTGGGATTACATAGGTGAGCCACGACGCCCAGCCCAGTGCTACACAATTTAGACAACCAGATAACTCACTCACTCACTATCACCAAGAGGATGGTGCTAAATTATTTATGAAAATTCACCCCCATGATCCAATCACCTCCCACCAGGCCCTACCTTCAATACTAGGGATTACCATTTGACAAGAGATTTGGGTGGGGACACAGATACAAACATTATCAGGGAGTAGAATAATCGTCGCTATGCCTTCCTCTAGCGTTGGGAATCTGCATTTTTACCTAGGAGGAAGCAATCAGATATGCATTTGTTTCAGGTAAGCAGAGGGATGACTTAGAGATCTGTCCTTTGTCTTGCACCTATGAAGATGAACGATCCATTTACATTGTCAGGGTAGAATTCAACAGAACACTTTTAGGGTGAAGATCTTGGGGCCCGCAAGGAATTCCTAGAGAGCAAATTGTGAGCGAGGTACTTAGCTTTCTTATCGTTGTAGCTATCTCATTTAGGGAAAAAATGGAAGGCAGGTTTGCCGGAAGCAGTTCCCAGCTTGCCTTTCCCCTTTGGTTGAGTAATTTTGGGGTACTGAGATTTATTTTCCTTTTACACCTGCCTTGTATTTCAACAAAACCGTATCGCAGTTAGGCTCCTTTTAAAAATTCTTGCTGATGTGCTCTGTGAACTTTAATGATTGTTTTCCAGGAAAAATGGCAGAACTAAGAACTACTGTCACACAGTCTCTTATCTGGAACCCTTAATGCCAGATGTGTTTTAAATTCACACTTTTTTCCTGATTTTAGAAATGAAATTAAGTGCATGTGCCATATATTATATAGACCTCAGCAAGTGTCTGGGAAACATCTGATAGATAACTACACTCAATAGTTCTGAGTGAAACTTTTTATTATTCCCACTAAGAGAAACACTAAGCTCTCTTATGTTACTTTAGTTCAGGTTTTACCTCCAAGTGAGTTTTTAAAAATTATTTTTTTGGAGCTTTTCGGATTTCAAAACTGCAGATTTAAGATATGAAGCTTTATTAGTAT